ATCTGGATAGAACTCAGAACTTGGAAAAGTGATTTGATCTAGACCACAGGCATCTCTTTGTCCTGCTTCTATGTGAAGAGAGGATCTTCGCGGTTTAATGTTGTGTAAGTAAGTTGCGCATTGGATGCAAAATAAGTATGGCAAGTCCAAGAAGCAGAAAGTATGAATGTAAAAGATGAAAGTGCAGAAAAGTGGTAGTGGTGGCGGAGGGAAGGATCATTTTGTCATCATTATCGTTCTCATGATAATGAGGTCCAAGTAGAGTTTTGGCCTATCTGATAAATCCATATGATTAGCAAGACTGCATTGGATACCTGTCTTATCTACCAACTACAGCAAAACATGGGAGTAAACGGAAATTTAAGTTTTACAGTAAGGAGATTTTTTTTTTTACAATTACTAACTGAATTATTTTTCCACCAACAACATAGAAAAGGGAAACCTTGCACTGTTATGTCACTGTATATCTTTTAGTTTTCACCAAGGCCTCTATCCAGCTTCCCGTGTACTTTGCCAACTTTCATGTTACTTTTAAAAAGGTATTTTAGTGAAACATTTTTCACTAACCTGGTATTTTAAAATACATTGCTAACTACCAGCAGATGTAACAAATATTTGTATTTATTTAAGACTTTATAATGTATATCTGCTTTATCTCACTATCTTAGAAAAAACATCCAGTTTTATGAAAGTTTGCTTTAGCTGCAGTGGGTTATATTTATTGACTGAAGGAAGCATCAAGTTGCATAAGTAAAGAGTATGCCTGAATAGGCAACAAATTCCATCATTTATTAAACTTGGGATGGAACCCTCTCAAAACAAAGGAAAAAGTAGTAAATTAGAAGTAGTAAATGAAAATTAAGAGTTAGGGCTGGTTGGAGCTGAATCTATACAGTGCGGTTTTTTACTTTTTTGCTTGTTTGCCTTATGGAAAGGACTAGCATTTTAAATTGTTTTCTCAGTAATGAAATCCTAATTTGCTTGTGGTCGTTTTTCAGGATAGGAGCACTTGCCATCTGATTTGTATCTGATTTGTTTGTTCCAAAAGCCCTTCAGAGTAATATCTGCACTAGGGATAGCTAACTTATTTATGCCCTACAGCCGCTGTCTTCCCGGCAGGCTGTTTGGAGACCGGGCAAGTACAACAGGATGTTTGTACAGTCAGCCTTCTGTTATCCAGCGTAATGAAAGACTTTAAAACCTTGGAAAATACAACCCCCCTGACATTACACAAAGTAGGGGGTGTGCTGGCATGGAATACGGTAAAGAGTTACCTTGTGACAGAAGATCAGCTGGGATCGATGTAGTAGGGTGTAAAGAAGAGGGAGCCAGGCTCTTTTCAGTGGTGCCCAGTGACAGGACCAGTGTGAGCACACACTGAAACACAGAAGGGTCCAGCTAAACATCAGGAAACACTTTCTCACTGTGAGGGTGACTGAGCACTGGCTCAGTTGCCCAGAGAGGATGAGGAAGATGGAGATTCGTGGGAGCATTCAAAAGCTGTCTGGACGTGGTCCTGGGCAACCAGCTCCGGGGGGCGGGTGGGGATGGGACCAGATGACCTCCGGAGGTCCCTTCCAACCTCAGCCGTTCTGTGGTTCTGTGATTAGAAGCTTTATTTCCATGTCGGTCTTGAAGGTCCTTAAGGTACTGCAGCACCAGGAAGTGGGAGGTCATACAGTTCAGTTGCAACCTTACATTTCAGCTGGCTCTGAGAACTATCCACATATGTTCGTGTGTCTTAACTAATAAGGCTGGATGAGTTACAATGATTATGCGAGAATCAGGCTGGCTACACACAGAGCCCTATCAGATTTCTTAAACTCTGGCATAGTCATTTGTAACCCAGACAAATCACTCACTGACAATTTAGAGTTTACGGTATTTCGGGATTGTTCCTGTAGTCTAGATGAATCTGTTTTGTGATTTAAATGGAATTTAAGAACTCAGTAGTTTATAAAGCCTGACCTATATTTTGTTCGCAGTACAGTTCCTTCCCTTAACATGTCATTATTGTTTACTTTGCTGTTGTGATTTTACCATTCTAAGCAGTATCCCAACACCATTGCATAACTAAACTTTATTATTCTGTTGCCGGTATGTTTAGAAACTGATATTTGGAATTATATGGATGCGATTATTCTTTCTAGTCAAATTCGTCAGTGTTTTAATGATTCAGATTGCTATCTCTGTGTGCAGGGTATTTTCTTGGGATGTTAACTATCCATGTAGAATTATACCAAATTAAGGTGACTTCACAAAAAATATGAAAGGAATGGACATGAGTTACTTTGTATTATACAAAACTATAATTGTGATGTGATTTCTTTTTCATTATAATATCTTACACACAAAAATAAATGTTTGCTTGAGAAGGGTTTAAAAGGTACTTTGCCGAGTGTCAGCTTCTTTCCAATAGTTTCTTCTAGTTAAAAAAGTAATATAGTGGTAGAAATAAACAAAAGAAGCTTATGCTGTAGAATGTCAGCTTATTGCATAGTAGACAATCTATTAAATATGTTATAGTATATCAATATATGATACACTTGCTTTTATGCAGTAGCAGTGTTTTAAGTAATTAATTAGGTTTATTAATTCTTATAATCTAGTACTTTCTAAGCATATTTCTAAGGAATAAGTAAACCATAAAAGAATTGCTACTCTCTATTTTACCTCTGCTTTAGAACAGAGACTAAACAAAGCAATCTCTAGAACTTATTTCGGAACTTTCAGCTAGGAGAGGTAATGAAAAACACATGCCAACTTAAATAACTTAAAATGATGGTATCTTGCAAAATGTCTGTCACAAAAATGACATATACTTAATTTTTTTAAAATTCTTAAACTTTTTATGCTGTGTTAGGTTTCATCCATGGGGGTTCTTCCCTCACTCTCTGGCTGCACAAACATTTGTGCCAAGATAAGAAAATAACAACATAGGGTTGGGGGTGGGTAGACATGGTGAAAAATCTGCTTTTGGTGCTGGTGCAGGTCTATGTCAGCATATGTGAACTATGACTCTCTTACCCAAATCCCAAAGAATGTTAAGCACTGGGCAATCCCATATAGAAAGTAGATCTTTCGTTAAGATAGATCTGTAGTTCTGTATCCTTCTATTAGCCAAACTAAGAACTGGTTGTTAGCAGCATTTTCAAAGCCTGTTGTTTGCTTCAGTTATCATGTGACCTTAAAGAGCTAAACTTCAAGTTAGGATGTTCCTAACGTTCATGCCCTGCAAACTGAGGGAGTGCTTAACCAGCTGAGGTGCCAAAAGGGTCACGACTTTTTCTGGGGACCTGAGGCAGCTGTTTTCTTAAGTTCTGTTTAGGTGAATGGATAAGCAGAGCCTGTGTCCAGAGGGAATATCAACCAGTCAAAGGAATTAACAGCAGAAAATCTAAAAGTCTGTAGACCTAACCGGTTGTGATTCCAGCAGAGCAGTCAGGCAATTTTCCTGTGCTGGAAAGCTCTTAAGCAGAGGCCCGTTAAGAGAGGAAGGAGGGGTTTAGATAGATACTACTACTAGTTGGAATCACCCAAGTTTTTTATTTTGTGTCTTGTAAAATATCAATCCCTTTTCCTTTTGATTTTGTGTATCAATTCAGCTGCTTGCATACAGCTTCACCTGTGTTTGAAAAAAAAATAGCTTTGCATTAAAAGCTTCCAGGTCATACAAATTTCAGGCTGATGACCAGGTTATCTTTCCTTTCCTCTTTCCTCCATATGCTCTCAAGAGAAAAAAGAAAAAAAGAAAAAAGCACCTAAGCACTGGAATATTTTACTGATCTGGTGCTTTGGTCTATGCTTTGATGTTCTAATGCTGTTTTATTCGTTCTACTGTTCTAGGGACCATACAAACCCCTTAGTGTTAGAGAACATTGACAGTAAAATTTAAAGGCTTTGGACTATTTTCAATCTTTGTTTAAATTAGGATTTGATTCCTTTTTTAGTCGAGGAAGCAGAAGCCAAGCCAGGGAACAGGAAATACACTTTTGGATGAATTTTGATTTGGAAGCAGATAGAAGTGGGGCTTTGATGGTCTAAGAATGAACTCTAGTTGCTTGTTTAGGAGGGCTGTAGCTTCTGGGCCAATGTCTTACAGAAGACAAGCTTCTCTTAAATCATTACAGAGCTGTGATGAAAGGTCTTCTCTTTCTTTGTCTGGCCAAATGTAGCCATGGTATGGATTGAGGGAAGCCATAGTATGAGACCCAGGTTCTAGAGGTCCTTTTGGTAAATCTACACCTTAACATTACAGCCATCACTAAACCTGTGTAATCAATGCCCAGCCTCCTCATTCTTCCATTGCTGATTTAAATTTCTCTGGCTTTAAGTTTCATGCTTTCAATTTTGTTATACCTTTGGATTTTGATATATTCTTGCAAAATGGAAGAGCTATTTAGTACCCTGTGAAGGTACTTAAACCCTGTAATTAATCTTCATCTGACAGAATTAAGACAAAGAATTCTTTGTATCATCTCTTGCTGTTGGGTACTTTTCTAGGTTTTCATTTGTATTTGTGATTGCTCTTTTATCCAGTTTTCCTGTGTATAGTGATTGTATGTTTACAGTTCAGTTTAAATCATTGTATTTAATGCATGTCCTTTTAGAATTTAGGTATGTGTGTGTGCATGCATGTGTATGTCATAATATCCTATCAATCAGCTCTACATTTATCTGCAAAGCTAAGCAAAACTAAAGTTTCCTCTTGTTATTTCAGTCTGACATATCTTCCCCCCATTTTCCTTTCTCAGCATGGAAGACCTCTTTGCTTTATCCTCTGCTCTCAGAAACACCATGGAAAATCTGGTCATGTGGATTTAGAAGATAATGCTAATTACTGTGTTCAAATTTTCTTTTCCATCACCATTGTAAAAGGTCTTTTATTTGAGAGCCTACGTCTGTATTCTGGACCCGGTGGTGTTGTATGAAAGGTACTATGCTGAAGATGGGACATTGTTTTCTGACTCTAATGGAGTGTGCTTTTTTTATTTTTACAGAGTACCAAGCTGCCATTTTGCATTTAAAGAGGGAACACAAAGAAGAAATTGAAACATTAAAGGTATAGTTTTGTAATTAGTTTTCTTCCTTTCCCTGACTCTAGTGCATTTTACAAATTTAAGTAGTGCGAACATATACTTTCCATCAAATGTTAAGAATTTAATTGTTTCTTTCTAAAAGTTGTTTTCAGTTGACTGCCAACTCAGTTAAAATTAATCTGGTTAAAATCCATACATGCACTCATATATGATGGCAAAAAGCAGTTTTACATGTTTCCCCTTTGTAGTTTTGCTTATTATTGTATTCTTAAATTTTTCCCTCTAACTCAGCAGTACAGTGCTTTTACATTTGCTTATTATATTAAGGCACTGGCATTTAACTACTTACTCTTTTTCAGTGAAACGTACTTCTGTAGAAACAGTTTTCTGTAATTTTAGACTGAAAAATAAGTATGGTAATTCCATTGTGAGACTCTCTGAAATTTTGTATTGAACACTCTTTATTGATATCTGGTTTTGTAAGTGTGAACTTGACCAGCTGTCTAATGGTCAAAATCAGAAATAACAAAGTTTAATATTAGAACTCAGTTTCTCTTGGCATGATTGACTCTGCTAAGCAAAGTGAAATATTACAAGTGGTTTTATCATAAAAGCAGGATCTTAAATGGCGGTATAACTTAAAGTGAATTTGTTGAGCAGTCCTAGTTTAAAGAAAAATTAACAATATCTTCCTTTTCTTGCCAACTGTGATATATTCTTAAGCATAGCTGCACTGTGTTCTAATACAGGTCCGTATGCTAAATCGTTAGTATACAAGTCATCAAGTATAAAACATTCCGTATTTTCTTTGTCATCATTAAGGCAAATAGAATGGAAAAAACCAAATTTACTAACACAGAGAGTCTGATAATCCAGTATATTGATACATTGACCACGTCATTAGGCAGATCACATATAGCAATCATCAGACTAGTACAAGTACAGTATTTGTATTACACAGAGTATTTATGTCTTTGTGACTGCACAAAGGCCAGGACATAATGGACGTAAAACCTATGAAGTTGAGAAAGCTCAGTGAGGTCTTTGAGTGGACAGGGGTCGAATGAGTGTAGCAGCTTGTGGAGTGGACAGGACAGGCAAAGAGTCTCTGGTGTATGCAGCATCTCTTAAAATTCAGCACAGGGAAATGCAAGCTAGCACTGAAGTAAATACAACAGTCGTGTACACTAAATATTATTAATAATAACCCGTACAAAGAATAGTGTAACTCTCCCACACAAGAAGAGTAGATGGATGCGAGGGGGATTTATTAATTTTGAGAGGGTATTTCAGAGAATACATAGTCTCGGTGAGAGAGAAAAATGTGTTTGCGCATCTCCAGCAACCCTGGAAACAGTAGAGGCAGAGGAGACGGGTACTGGCAGGCATCCATGAAAAATAGCACATCTGTCCAGTTTCATCTTTCATTAAAAGAATATTCGTCTTGCACATTTTTTTCTCCATAAGAGTACATCTAAAAGACACTGGAGGAGAAGTAGATTCATTTATTTGCTGCTCATAAATTTGAATGATATAAACATTCTCTTTTAAATCAGATTATTATTTTTTATCTGGAATATTTGAGTTTTCCTCAAATATCATCGTGTCTTAATGATTAACTGTGTTTATATGTTATCTTGTTTAGTAGTAAGGAAATTGTGAGTGGGTTGTTTCCAGAAAAGTGAAATTGTGATGTAACTTTCAGCACCATAAAATATCAGGATTTTTTATATAT